ACCTTATTGATTAAATTTAATTAAAAAAGAATGGAATTTTCTTATTGGTCGATTTTGGTTTACACGGTTTTTAGAATGGCATGGTTTTCATTTGAACCTGCCCCTATATATATATATATATATATATCATTGAGTTAAATACGAACAAAAATTGACATATATATGAACTTAGACTGTATAGCATTTATGAACATAATAAGAATAGCTGCTACAAGAAAGGAAATAAATAAAAAAATAGGTATGAACAACTTGTGAACAATAGTTCTTTCATTATAAACACATTCATGAGTGAGCCAATGTTGAGATATGCAGCTAGTGTATATATGAACACTTGTGAACAATAGTTCCTTCATTATGAACAATGAGTTTATCTATAATAGCTTGAACAATACCTAAAACTTTACTACCTGGCCTCTTCTATCAATCACAAATTCAAAAACATTATAGATAGAAAAATCAATATTATAAAAAAACAAGATCAATAATAAATTAACAAAAATTATGAATTCAATATTAGATGCTTTGATTCATGTCTCTACTAGAACATATATGAATACACCTGAACGTATATGAACACTAATTGTAGTCTATGGTAGGTCAAACATCACAAGCAGCTGATGGAGTCGAATGGTTATCAGATTGGATTGTATAACAAATTAAGTTAACGATGAACTCATTTCATTTATACATATGAATTGGGCTCGTAGTAATAATTAAAAAAAAAGCTACCAACACAATATGAACTATAAAAAACACAAAAACGTCATAATCAACATAATTTCGATTAAGACGAATACAATAACATATTAATGCATTATCAATACAAACGCTTTGATTATTGTCTTCACTTCCGGAACTTGAAGTCCGATTGTCATCGTAAACCATTTTAACTTTCCCATTGTTGTCGAGTTGTTTTCTAATGGGTTTATCCATATTAGCTTGAACGATATCAAAAACTTTACTATCGGGTCTCTTTTAACAATCACAAATTCAAAAACATTATAGATAGATAAATCAATATTATAGAAAAACAAGATCAATAGTAAATCAACAACAATTAAGAAATTTTTTGATTTTATAACTCCCAATTAATGATATGAGAATTACATACAAACTAAAATTACATATTTACCCTTGTCACTAAATTATGAAATGGATATGAATCTAGATAAAAGATGGATTTTCATTGGTTGATCTTGATTAATAAAGTTAACATAATAATCTTAGTTAATATTTGAACCAAGTTTTATATATATATGGTCAGTGTCAACCATCATATATAAGTTATTAAGGGTGTGGTTTGGGTGAGAGTAACAAGGAATGGAGAATGATGAGTGTAGCCCCATGAGCCATAACGACTTCGTTCACAAGTCATAACCTAATTCATTAAGGAATTTCTGCCATTTTCAACTTCATTATTTTGATTCTTCATTCAATTTGAATTGCTATTTTCTTCATTCCAATTATTATGAAAAGACATCTGTTATCGGAAGCCTTGGCCTATTACAAACATATGATGAGAATAAAAATCATTAAATGTCTAATTTCGTAACAAAATGAACTCTTATCACATGCTCACTCATTGATGTGATCATATCAGCACTAATGCATCAGATGTCTAGATCCCATCAAATGCTGACTAATAAAAGTATTTTCAACAAATTAGGAAAATAAAATTTATTCCCATTTTTATTTCATACAATACAACGACTCCACATAGTGACGATCTAGAAATTTTATAGACTGAGGTCTTATAAAAAATTCTACAGAAAAAGTAAAGTTTTATAAAAATAAATAAATTTAACCTAGATATTTTTTTTTTACTTTTTGACCGGTCCCTAACCCACTTAGGAGGTGTTTGAGATTGCTTATTTGAAACAATTTATACTTTTCTATAAAAGTACTTATCAATTTATTTTAAATCAGAAGGGTTTAACATTTTCAAAAACTTCTTATTACCAGTTTGACACCGGTATAAATTGTTTATCCAAACACTTAAAAATGCTTATTACCGATATCACATCAAAATAAGTCAATAAATTATTTTTATAAGCAATACCAAACAGCCACTTGGATGACAAAGAAAATAAGAGGAAATTGTAGGCCTCCATTTTCAACGGCAGTTGCGTCCACCAAGTCTTCACACGGGTCAATCTTTTTGACCACTGGGGAAGCTTCATCGCACCATCCCCATTCCCCCAATCATTTTTACCACTGTATTATCACCATCATCATCAAGCTTACTGAACCAGCCATAACACCCATCAATGGAGCCACCCTTCTTATTCTTGATTCCTTTCCTCTTTTCTTTCTATGCATTATTCACTTCTTCCATGGCAGCAAACACCATCGCAGTGAATCAAACCATTACAGATGGCCAAACCATTGTTTCACCCCAACAGTCCTTCGAGCTCGGCTTCTTTAGCCCAACCACCACCACCCACAACCGCTACTTAGGGATATGGTACAAACGGCTAGCAACCGACACGGTTGCGTGGGTTGCGAATAGAGAAACCCCGATCGCAAACAAATCCGGTGAGCTAACTCTCCATCCCAACGGAGTCTTGGTGCTCCGTGACTCCACCACCAACCGAACCATCTGGTCTTCGGGTTCAACCCGAACCTCTCCGAATCCAATCGCTCAGCTATTGGATTCCGGGAATCTTATGGTGTTGGATCAGGAAGGTGGCAACGATGATCCCGAAGATTATATCTGGCAAAGCTTCGATCAACCCGGAAATACGTATCTTCCGGGTATAAAGTTTGGGAGGAACTTGCAGAAGGGTGTGGTAACAAACTTCACATCATGGAAAACAGATGATGATCCTTCTGAAGGTGAGCATATGGTTTATATGGATTTCAATGGCTTACCTCAAATTTATCAGAATAAAGGAGATGTGATTCACATGAGACTTGGATCATGGAATGGTCTTAGCCATACGGGCATGCCAACTCTGAAACCGAATCCGATTTTCACATTCGAACAGGTTTCAAACGATAGAGAGATCTACTACAAATTCGAACTCATTAACAGCTCTAATTTGATCAAGATGATGTTAACGACGAATGGGGACTTAGTTCGATTGAATTGGGTCAATCGATCCCAAGAATGGTCTTTATTTTCGACACCCGAAGTAGACAAGTGCTCCCAATACGCGGTATGTGGGCCTTACGCGAGTTGCAACACGGAGCAATTCCCGGTTTGCGGGTGTTTGAAAGGTTTTGTCCCTAAGAATCCACAACAGTGGGATGCAGCGGATTGGACAAGCGGGTGTCGATGGGAAATACCGTTGGATTGCGGTGTTGGAGAAGGGTTTCGACGGTATCCATTGATGAAATTACCCGACACCCGAAAATCGTGGTTCGACCGGAAAATGAGTCTCGAACAATGTCGGATTAAATGTAAAAACGAGTGTAATTGTTCGGCGTATTCAGCTTTGGACATCCTAGTTAATATTGGCTGTATATTATGGTACGATGTCGATGAATTGATAGATATCCGATCGTTTCCTAATATTGGACAAGATATATACATACGGATGACAGCCGTTGAATTAGGTACATTCATACACATCAACATCAAGACTTATTTTATATTTGATTTGATCTGATTCTGAAATATATATATAGGAAAACATATAATAACATCTGTTACAGCATCTCCAACAGCTTATCCAAATTACTTTGACTTTTGTGCCCAAAAGTCCATGAAAGCCAAATTGCATTTGTGTAGATCAGTTTGTGCGCATCTCAACTAATTTAATAGAACCTAAAAATATAAACGTAGAAAATCTTCATTGGTCATAAAAAACTCGAACCTACGAAATCTTTGAACGCGTAATCGTAGTTAACATTTCCTTTAATTTGCAGAGAAAGATAAAAAGACATCGAGCGGTAACAAGAAAGCGAAAATCATCGTCATTTCTATAATGGTAGGATCAACGGTTCTACTGGGATTACTCGTATTGATGATCATTAGGAAGAGGAAGGAGAAGCGACAAGGTATCGAGTGTTTCGTAATCAAGTATGATTCGTTTCATTTTGTGTCGTCGCATGAATCGATTTATGTATAATACTGTTTAATGTAGAACGACATGATCCCGTTGCAAAAGACAAAGAAGAAAGCCAAATATATGAATCGCGAAAAGACAATCTACATGACCTACCGTTGTTTAGTCTGTCCACGCTATTCAAGGCGACCGACAACTTCTCAGATAGCAACAAGATCGGGGAGGGTGGTTTTGGACCGGTATATAAGGTAATATTAAGTCTCAACATGTACATTATGTATTTAGAGCCTTCTTTTACAAACCCAGTAATTCGTAAAAATTTACAAAGCAGTTTTCATATGTTACTTCTAAAGGGATTTCTAGAGGATGGACGAGAAATTGCAGTGAAACGGCTTTCCGAGAGTTCCACACAAGGAGTTGACGAGTTCAAAAATGAAGTCCTTTTCATTTCCAAGCTTCAGCATCGAAATCTCGTCAAGATTCTGGGATGTTGCATCGAAGGGCAAGAAAAGACGTTAGTTTACGAGTATATGCCTAACAAAGGGCTCGACTTGTTTCTATTTCGTAAGTATAACATGACAAAACTTCTGATAACGTATCCAACTCAACCATTCAAAAAAACCAAAACCGACACAAAACCCTTTTTTCTTATTACTTTTTTGCAGAAGAGGACAAGAGAAAAACACTCAACTGGACACAACGATTTCACATTATCAATGGTATTGCTCGGGGTCTACTTTATCTTCATCAAGATTCTCGATTGCGAATCATACACAGAGACCTTAAAGCAAGCAATATTTTGCTTGATCATGAAATGAACCCGAAGATATCAGATTTTGGCATGGCAAGAAGCTTCAGAGGCAATGATACCGAAACAAAAACTAAAAGAGTAGTCGGAACATAGTAAGAATTCATTATAAACATATTCTGTATCTATTTTCTATTCTACGATATTTAAAATCTATAAAAACCCACAAAATAAAATATATAAGCCTTTTAACTTGACGAATTTGATGCAGTGGATACATGTCCCCGGAGTATGCTGGAAATGGTATTTTTTCAGTTAAATCCGACGTATTCAGTTTCGGCGTTTTGGTGCTAGAGATTGTGAGTGGGAAGAAAAGCCGAGGGTTCTTTCATATGACACACAACGATAACCTTCTTGGACATGTAAGTTACAGAAAAAACTAACGTACGACTTTTGAGCGTCAGATGATTTATAATCTTACTGGGTTGATGCATCTTAATTAACTGATTTTTAGGCATGGAGACTCTACAATGAAGGAAATATCTTGGAACTGGTTGAAGCATCTTTGATCGAGTCAAATTGTACATTTGAGATGTTACGATCGATCCATGTGGGTTTATTATGTGTTCAAAACAACCCGGATGACAGACCAACCATGTCTACCGTCATTATGATGATGAGCAGCGATGGTCCTCTTCCAGAACCGAAACAACCTGGCTTTTATATTGAAAATGGTAAATTTCAACCTGGGAATTCGTCTAGCATGCAAACACAAGAGTCGAACGGCGATATCACAATTACAGTTTTGGAGCCTAGATAGATCGAACTCCATATTTCCCACCACGGATTATTAAAAAAAAACTTGATTCCATAGTATGTTAATAGTCGGGAAAGTCGTAGTAGGCACTGATACAAAGAATGTAGCCAGTGTCATCAACTATATTAAGCCATTAGGTTATGAGTAATCCAGTATTTTTGGTTCACTTTCTCATCGTTGTAATGAAATGAATTTCTCTTTTCATTACACGAAAAGTGTTAAATGGTGTGATTTTCAAGGCCGAAGATTGAACAACTCATGATGTTACTGACTGAACTCATCATCTTCCGAATTTTGAAAACCGCACGTAATTTGATGGAAACCAAGTTATTTACGTTTCATGTTTTCTTGAATGATTGCAATTTGACTGATTTATATAAAGTCGGGTTACACATGGAACTTTCAAATTGAAATTATTTGTGGCTACTTCATTGTCAAAGACAAAGTGTAGAATTCTCATTTCTTGTACGACTTAAACCATGTATTGTTTCACCTACTAGGCTACCTATTTAGCTTTTACTTTGTGTTTTTCTTTAAAACCATGATAGATGAGCGAGCAAATGCAAATCACTTATATTTGTACAAACCGTGCAAATCACATTTATTTGTCGATTTTATTATTTAATTTAATGATTTTGTTTTATGAAGTTGTTCAATATTATGAAATTGTTTCATATAATACTTTTTTAGATTAAGTTGTTTCATATATGGTTATGAAATTGTTTCAAATAATACTTATGAAATTTTAATGAAATTGTTTCATGTATTTATTTAAAATTAATGTAATGAAGATGATAATATTCATGATTAATATCCTCCACAATAAAAATGATTAATGAACATATCATAATTACAAAAAAATGAAAAAATATGATTGGTTGAATGAGGTTTGTACAGTTTGTAGAAATAACATGGTTTGCAAAGTAAACCTCATATATATATATATATATATATATATATATATATATATATATAGGGGCTGGTTCAAATACTAACCCAATATTTTG